GGCAGGGAGGGTGGGCCCACGGGGGCGGGACGCGCGGAGGGGGGGTGGCAGGTGGAGGCCGGGGACCCATCCAACACTCCCCCGGTCCCTGACTGCCCCCCCCCCGGACTCCCCTTACCATTCTGGCTCCACGTGTTTGCAAAACACGCTGCCCGGTGGGTCGGTTTGTGTGTTACACAGGGCTGCAGACAGAGGGAGGGGGGAGCAGGGGAGGGCTCTAGCTGCTGGAGGCCAATGGGAGTGGGTCAATCGGCCCAGCCGCCCAATCAGCACCCGCACTCTGCATGGGAGGGAGGGAGGCGAGGGAGAAAAAACCCCCGGACATTTTAACCTTGTTACCAATTCCTCCCGGACGGCTATTTAGAGACGCAAAAGCCGGACGTGTCTGGGGAAATATGGACGGATGGTAACCCTACTCTACGCCCAGGTTAACAAGTGGAGAGGCCTGGCCCTCCCACGTTAAAACATGGTGGGGGCATGGCCCCCCCCCCTTACCACCCCAGTTCCAGCGCCCCTGCCAGACGCACTCCTCCCTTGCTCTCACCTTTCCCATTCCCTTCACTGCACACTTTGTACATCCCCAACCCGATGGGGGCTGTGACCTGGTTGGCCTCTGGCACTACCGCAGTGTGTGTTACAACAAACTCCAACTACACTGCTTGTCGGATTGGTGGCCATGTCCTCTGAAGCAGCTGTTGCTGGCCACTCTCAGACTGGCCCATCTCTCCCATCAGTCTGATCCCATCGGGCAGTTCTTGTTTCTGGCCCTGCTTGTTCTCCACAGAGATGAAAGACGGGCCGATCTCTCACCTTGTGTTTTGTTTTTTCCAGTTGAAAAATCTAGGCTGTCTCCTCCTTGCCCCCCTGCTGCCTCCTGGTGCCCGGACGGCTGGATCTGGATCCAAGGGAAATGTTACTATTTTTCTAAGGCCGAAGGGAACTGGACCTACAGCCAGAGCTTCTGCTCTTCGCACTCTGCCTCCCTGGCCGGGATTGAGAGTCTGCAGGAGCTGGTGAGAAGCCCGGATAGATGCTTTGTGCCAAGCCCAGCGATCGGGGGCACCATAGACAGGGCTGGAGTCAGGCTGGGCTCAGCCCCTGTAGGGCAGAGAGGAGCCCGGGTGCCTCCCAGGCTGGGCGGCCAGAGTCAGTGCGGTTCTGGCAGCTGAATCCTGGATGGACCTGGGGCTCCAGCCACCTTGACCCTGCATCTGCCAGAGCCCAGGTGGAGACTCCCCCTGTGCAGGGCTGGGCCGGCTCAGTCAGCTCCAGGCCAATGGGCTGCCTGGGGCTGGAGGGGGTGAGAACCTGCTCCCTCCCCTCCCCCCCCCCAGCTCAGCCCAGCCCCAGAGTTTCCTCCTGGGTGGGGCGGGGAGAATCCAGCTGGAGGTGGGGCTGCTTTAGGTCTCTTCCCATCAACTTACCTGCCCTGGTGGCGGGTCTGTCTGCCCTCCCCCTGCAGCCCCGTCTTCCTCCTGGCCCTGCTGTGCTCTGAGAAGGGGCTGCTGGGCAGACAGTGACCTTGCAGGTCAATTCCTGCTTCACCCAGTAGGTGCCACAGCCCCAAAAAGAGGAGGGGGGAGGGTGAAGGGTTAATACATATCTGATCCCTTCACCCAATAACCATGGAAGAGGCCTCTAGAAATCCCCGGCTGCCCAAGGTGGGGAGCAGCACAGAGTCAGGGGCTAACACAGCTGATTGCGTTTATTGCATTTGTAAGGGTTCCCTGCTGCCATACGAAGGCAAACTGGACCACTGGATCGGCCTCCGGAAGGACACGGGCCAGGTCTGGAAATGGGCCAACGGGACCGAGTTTGACCATCGGTGAGTCTCTTTTTCTCTGCATTGTTCAGAGGGGATGGAAATGCCCCACTGGCTGCTTTAACGTCCCCTCCTGCCGGGAGCAGGGCCTGGGGCTGGTGCAGGGAGGGGGATCCAGAGGGGCTGTGAGTGCACAGCTCCCGTCCCTGACTTGGGGTGTCTCCCCCGGTCTGTGCCTGGCACACACTGACTCTAGATCCAATTGCCTCTGGGTTACAGGTTTGAAATACAAGGCGGAGCTGACTGCGCACCTGGATGAAGAACTCGCAGTCACCACGTCAAGGTGCCACACACCAAGACAATGGATCTGCAGTAAACCTGGGAAGGGAGAGGAGCGAACAGTGGGAGGGGATTCGTGAACTCAAGGGAATCGGAGATCAGCTGTGACTGTTGTTCCACAAACTTATACAGGATTGTTTTAGGGGTTAAGACAAAGATGCCACATTTATTATAACAACAATTTGATTTATGACCGATAATTAATATTTCAATTTTTACACACACACATTATACCTAATATTTATATACACACACACACACACACACACACACACACACACACACACACACTATTTATTAGTATTGTTTGCAGCTGCTG